AGCCGAAGGGGCAGAGATTTTCCCCATAAATGGTCAAACTAATGACTAAAGCTGAAAATCATAAGCTGTTTAAACTAACAGATCATTTTCAAAGAATCGAAGAATTGAATCTCGTTCAATGTTGCTCTGACACTAAGACAGAACCATTCTTGGATCCACGTTCTACTTCAAAGAGATCATTTCCAAAGAAAGCCTGGTGGAGAGCCCTAACGCACTGCTCCGCTTCATTGTCATTTACAACCAAAGAGATATTAACCTGGCCGGTGGTAATAGGTAAACGGTGAGTTCATCTACCACCACAACGATCAAATGCATAAACATTTCATAGGAAGTCAACTGTAACCACACTATTCATTCATGAATCACGTCCAATGGAAAATTAACCAGGATTTAGGAGAGTGAGAAAAATCACAGATAGACACAAACAGTCAAATCAAAATTTGGCTTTCCGTTTTACTGTTAATAGGAAAAGGGACAGAACTATTGTTGCTAGGAGATACCTTGGATGCACCCTGAGAGATCATCTGAACATTGACTCCAATGGTTCGAAGAACCTGAAATGCCTGCCACATACGACCAAAAATGTCAATACCAAAATCAAATATACATGAACAAAGGGGTAGCTAATGTTGACTGAACAATTGCAGTCGACCAGAGAACAAAAGAAATTTAGGGGACATTTTTAACTACTTAGCAAAACACAATACAGCACCTTCTCTAGTATCAGTGATGACCTCTGCACATTTCCAATGAGAGATATAATTGATCTGTGCTGAAGAAGATTGACAACAGCAATTTTCTCAAGTTCCTCCACAACATGGTCAAGTTCCTGCAAGGAAGATGCAGTATTCAATGAGATTTTATGTAACAATTCCATGCAAAAATTGACTGGTCAACCATCTTCACTTCAAATATGTTGTGCACGTGATTGGCTACAATTTTTCCATAACATGCACCAACAAGAAGGAACATACATAAAATGAAAAATCATAAAAAAACACACGCAGACAATTTAATAAAGCTTAGATGCATGGGTCAAGTAACTCCAGAAAATCATAACCAGTAAGAGCAAATGGAAGATGAGATCATACGCTTGCCTGCTGAATAAGCTCTCTGCTCCAAAGCTTTGAGGGATCCAGTGTCAAGGAAATACTAACTTCACTGGTAGCAACAACATCAACTGATATGCCCAAATCTTCGAAAGTTGTAAATACCTACATGGAAAATATTATAAATAAAAGCCACCAAGTTATCAAGAGGGACAACCAACAGAAACAAGGTAATTTGTTTTCTTCACCTTAGCAAGAAATCCATATTGACCCAGCATGCGAGTGCTAACAATATCCAACATAGTCACGTTCCTTTTCAAAACAATGCTTGTTAATACAGCCTGCAATAGAGACAGAAAAATTCAATGAAGTCTCGAGCATTTTATGACAGTGGTGCTCAATTTTCCAGCAGACTACTACAAACCTTGCTCATATCTCTTGCATGGGTAATGACAGTACCGGGAGCGTTGGGGTTGTATGAATTTTTAACCCTCACTGGAATATCAGCCTCTCTGGCTGGTCTCATGGACTGTGGATGCAAGACCTGCAAGAAGGAAAGAAAAATTATTAAATCATGTTTTTTTTCTTGTTGAAAGAACACAAGTGTAACTAAAATACAGGTGGTTTAAGAGCTTATTGACTACTCCAAAGCACAACAAATCATTAGAACAGGAAAACTAAGTATTTAAAGTCAGAAAAAAAAACCGGATTAAATAAGTTGGAGAACCTTGCACCTAATATTGGCACTTGTTAATAAGAGAAGTATTGCGGATATTATCAACATTTAGCATCACTGTTGATACCTGAGCACCAAAATATGCTAGTTCGGCAGCCTCTTCAAATGTCAAATAAGGTACAGGTTCAGCACGCGGATATATGTTAGGATCACATGTCAAAACGCCATCAACATCCTTCCACACCTGTAAGACATTGAAAAATAGGTCATATTTTGCTACTTTTAAAAGAACTAGGAACTTGAGCAAAATTATTTTTTATTCAAACACACCTGAATTTCTCGTAACCCCAATGCTTTACCAAGGGTTGTAGCTGTCAAATCACTGCCACCTCTACCCAATGTAGTCACAGCACATGATTTCCATCCCTGCAACCAGAAAAACAGTGTCAATGGTGTTAATAGTTGAACCTTTTCAAAAACAGAATACATGTTGAAGTTAGCCAGAAGAGACACCTTTCCAAGGAAACCAGTAACAATTGGAATAGCAGGATCACATATCCAATCACCCTGTACCCTCTTTGCGACAGCTGGATAAGTTGCCTCCAAGATGTCCGCATTTGTGAAGTCATCTGTGGTTATAAACCCAATTTCAAAAGCATCATACTGCCAAAACAACAAACACGATTATATTAACTTGCTATCCGCAAGAATGGTGCTAACAAACAATTAGGAATTCCTCAGAAATTACAGCTGGAAATTTGAAATCACTTCCACAATTACATTAAATTGGGAAAGAACATACCTGGCGGGCTTTAACACCAATCTTATTCAGATAGGCAGCAAAGAGCCTTGTGGACATGCATTCCCCAAATGAAACCAGATAGTCTTTTGTTCGTAAAGTCAACTCTTTCATCATAGCAATTCCCTTCAGAAGTTGTTCCAGTTCTTCCAGGTGTGCTGCAAATCAGAGATAACAGGAAAAGCCATATAAATCAGTAGGATTACAATGAACAATGTATACACAGCCATGCTAACAGAACAGCCAAGGCTTTAGGCTGCTTAAAACTTTGGACAAATTTGGACTTGCTAATATGCAAAACAAGGATCATATTTTGCATTAAAAAAACAATGGACTTTACGTGCAGATAAGAAAAGAAACTCACATGATATGATAGAGCTGTCCACTCCAAGTTCTTCCACGGTCCTATTCAAAATAGGATGGTGCACAGTGAGGAAATCAAAAATTGAATTATTTTTCCTAAAACATCGCACTAGAAAAATAAATATTCCGCTGCACTCACCTGAGATGTAATTCTTTTATGAAGCTCAACTCATCAATCATAGATACATTGGTGACACCGCAAGTGACAGCCTTTTCTCCTGCCTACTCATGAGCAACCAATTTGACCATCATTTGTTGTTATTCATAAGAAATGAAGGGATAAAAGGTTGGATGACAATATCTAAGTAATATTCATATAATGTGGTACCAGTAAGAGTTTGTTAGTTGTCTTTCCCATGGCAGAAAGAACAATGACAGGCCTCTCTTGTGGGAAGCTGAGTATAAGATCAGCAACCTCTCTCATTCTCTCTGCAGTGGCCACCGAGGAGCCACCAAACTTCATGACGCAAGTCAATTGTTTCTCATTGTCACCAAGGCTTTGATTGTCAGTCTGTTTCTTTTCAAGAACATCCGCAATTCCTCCCTCGCAACTGACTCTCAAAACCCTGCTCGTACAAGAAAAGCTTTTAGCACTTGCAAAGAATCCATTGCTGGAAGCGACACCAGTAGCGAAACGAAGACTTTGCGACCATAGTGGTTGCTTGAATCGCAAAGATCTTTCTGGGGATGCAGGGCACAGAGTTTTAACTCGGGAAAAATGCAAGGCAGTTTCCATTCTAAAAGAAGTTATTTCGACGAATGATGTGAATGGCGTACAGAGCTACGAACTCAAGATCCCAACACAACCGGTTTGACGAATTCGAACTTTTAGCTGCAGCTCAATCTGCAAAATTCCATAACTTCACTGAAAATTTTCTGAACTAAACAAACAGCTAAAACAACATAAAGATGTAATTTCACAATTTATTTTTGTTTGAAGTAAAAGACAGAGAAGGAATTAACTCATTTGCATTGATATTAAATGCATTCATATATTAGAGAGGTTGAAAAGTACCTTGAGATGATTGGCAGATCAATGAGATGAGAGCAAACCAGACGTAAAGCCTCCAAACCTACAACAAGGGAACGAGAGTGGTGGCAGAGGAGGCGGCAGAGGCTCTGTGGTCCGTCGTAGATTCAGAGCATTGAGAGGGGGAGCTGGCGGCGAATCTCTCTCAATACTCGAGGAATGCGGAAGGAACACCGGAAAGACAACACACAACAAACAAACCAAACCAAACCAAACCCTGGCGGCGCCTCTTCTTTTTAACCGCGTTGTGTTATGTTGTTTGTTGAATGAACGAATGGAAATTGTGGAATGCCCAACGTGTTTCTTATTTTATTTTAATTTCTTTTTCATTAAATAAATTAGTTCTCTTATGTGTTTTCATGTTTTTATGAAAATCGTCTCGTCGTTTTCAGTGGAACCGACGGTGGAGACTCAATCTTTATAGGTTCACAGGATACGAGCGTTATTGGCGGTTCGATGAGGATGGCGGGGGTAGATCTCACGGTGGAAAATGGTTATGTCTTGAATAATTTCGTTGGTGAGCGCACTTAGTGAGGAATCGAGACGCCGCTGACAGAAAATGTGAGGTTGGCGATTTAAAAATAGAAAAGTTCAATCTTTGACCAAAATAAACAAAAGAAATTCAAATTAAATTAAATTTACTTGAATTTAAGGTTTTTTCTTTCCAAAAGAAAATTGAAAAACTGAAAGAAGTTGTATCAAACGTGGACCATTATTGCCTTTGTCTCCCAAGGTGCGGTCCGCGTAGACACGGATGTCGGCTGCTGTGTGAACTTAATTTATTTGGAAGTTACTTTTAAAATAATTAAAAATATTTTTAGTGAGAGTGTTGTGCTTTTTATGGGAGGGTTCATTTTTAGAATTCAGCTGTATTTTAACTAAAATTAATTTCAAAAGCGTTTTTAATTATTTTAAAAACGTTTTCAAACAAATCATTAGTACTGTAATCTTCTTTGCCTTCTGGCACCAATTGCAAAAGAAGAAGTGGGCTGTTTATTCTTTCTCGGGTACTAAATTGCATCTCGAGTTTTAAGTTTGATTTGATCTAGCTTAGAGTAGTAACATTGCTTATAAATAAAAACAAACTCACCAACACACATTGTAGCCTACTGATCATATCACTCATGCATGCACAAGTAAACTACAGTTGAGACGAAGAAATTAACTTCAAGAGCTGAAGTTAGCTACTGAAGATAACAGAGCAGTTTTGCCTGATGATTCTACATAACATAATCCACTGCAACAAACCAGATGATAAAAACAACTAAACCTACGGACATCGTCGGCTTACATAGTTCGAGTTGAGCTCTATAGGCTCTACCGATGGAACGAAGAGAGGAGAAGAAAGCCGCTGCATTTACAAACTAGCTACTCCATTAGTTGAGTTGAGGGAGGTACAAACAAACCACACTACTAGTTAGTTAGTGTCAGCCTGCCAGCCTTCATGTCTCCCAATTGTAAGGCTCCAATTTGTATTGCTCGAGTAACAGTTACATCATCATATTATGAAATCCAGCTGAATCCAAAAGTAGTGCTTTTATTTGCTCTGGCAAGAACTGGTTTTCCATGCATTGCTGTTTAACATACAAGGGATTAGGTTTTGTGTGTCCCTAAGAATACCATATTTTTGTTTCATGGCATTCCCGGAACAATGCCTCAGACGCTACCAAAACAGTTTTAATGCCAATCAATTGTGACCAACCACAAAAAATCTTTTCGGGATTAAAATCTTTATTTGAGTTCATCTTCCGAACAAAATGGACTCAAAAATTGAAGTTCAGAAGCAGCAAACATGGAAAACTCAACATTCATATCTCCCACAGTAAAATAGAAGATTTTTACACAAAGTCAGGGTAATACTATATTTTAAGTCTGGATGTCAAAAGGTAAAGCACCAAGAATGAAAAAGATTTACTAGAACGAAAGATACAATAAGAATACCATATTTTTGTTTCATGGCATTTCCGGAACAATGCCTCAGACTCTACCAAAACAGTTTTAATGCCAATCAATTATGGCCAACACAAATAATCTCTTCGGGATTAAAATCTTTATTTGATGGTCTATCTTCCGAACAAAATGGACTCATAAATTGAAGTTCAGAAGCAGCAAACAAGGAAAACTCAACATTCATATCTCCTACAGTAAAATAGAAGATTTTTACACATAGTCAGGGTAATACTATATATTAAGTCTGGATGTCAAAAGGTAAGGCACCAAGAATGAAAACGAACATACATACATACACAAAGTCACATATATATATATATATATATATATATATATATATATTTATACACGTGTGCGTGTTCTATTTGTGTTAATACAAGTCACCCTTATACTTCATATGTAGAAACAGTCTCAGCAATTCGCTATCCGGAAAAGAAACATACCTCAGCACGGAACACGTCTAAAGCAAACCCATTGAAGCAGCTGATCACAGCCTGCTGGATGTCCAAATCAAGGTTATCCAAGGCCCTCATGGTCGAGAGAAAGAGACCTGGTCTCCGAGCACAGAACATGTGGATGTTAACAGTTCGCCCTTCCCTTACCCGAACCTCCACCTGCAAAATACATTGAAGATTACAAGTTAAGGAAATCTTCTTGATCATACTTTACATATTGCATGCTTCAAATTATACGGGTGAATAAAAGTTACCTTCGGTTGAGTTTTGGGGCTAGGCAAGGAGCTTGGGCAGAGCTCTTCTTTGACACGGCAGGGAAGGGTGGATGGAGGGGGTGTCAACGGATGAAAGCTTGTTGAAGGTGGCAGCAAAGAGCTAGGTGGAGCTGAATCCAGCTCGTTATGGAGGTCATTGATCCTTTGTAGAAGTTCTTTCAAATAATCAATTGCATCCCCTAGTATGGACGCCCTATCCATCTGTGTACAACATGACAGAATACTCATCATGTATTATGACTGATAAGCAAGAAGCCACGAATCACACAGGAAGCTGAATCCCCCAAACAATGGCCCAACTTAAGGCAATATCAAGAGCCACTGGATCTGTCATGGATTTTCCGAACTATTAATTTCCTTCGAGTAAAAAGACCAATTCGATGTAAAACAACGTGAGTACTTCTCTTAATACATCAATACAATAGTATGTATACATTACCTTTTAGGTGGCTTAAATTCTTTGTAATTCTAAGGCGCACATCCGGCTGTTACATTCAGCTAATTTCCGTACTTATAGTACTAGTTAAAATGAAAAATGAAAAAAAAAAAAACACAAAAGTAGAGCAAGAAACTCACATAAACTAACATAAAAAGATAGGGAAAGCACACAAAGACTGCATCTTCAAAGGAACAAGGCAAAAAGAAATTAATGGAGAACTATGTCCACTGTCTAGTATAGATGGTACAGAAAATGACTACCTTGCTTATCTTGGGTACAACAGACCTAAGCATGTAGAGCCTGTCATTGAGCTTCTTCCTCCGCCTTCTCTCCGCCATCAGATTTTTGGCCGGCAAACCCTTCTTCTTGCCCTTGCGGTCACCTCCCTCTACTCCGGTGACAGTGCAGTTGGCATTCGAATTGTTTCCACCATTCTTCGCATTGTCCTCCACCTCCACTTGACTGTGCTCATTAAAATCGTTCGAGTCATAATTCAAACCAGACACATCCAGACTCTCTTCCTCCACCTCACCCTCGTCGTTCCCCCTCTTCTTCTCCAAATTCTCCACTAGTCCTCCGTATCTGGGGGCCGAAATCTCCAAATTCCCCAATTTATCAGCCCCATCACCGCCAGAGTTTTGGCGGCGCTTCTGGAAAAGAGTGGGCTGAGCACCCATGGGAGGGAACAGGAGCTTAGCCCCGTTCAGCAGCTGAGCACCGGCGGAGCCATCGAAGCCTTCGAAGCCAAAGTCGCCGTCGAGTATATTGGCGTTGTCGGTCACTGGCAGCAACCGACTCGCCGGAAACTCGGCGCTCGAACTGAACTCGGGAGTACCCATCTGAGAGTGAGAATTGAGAGCCGTGAAACCCATCAGAAGAGAGGACTTGGAAGGCTGATTTCCCTGAAAGGAGCCCAGAAACCCAGCGTCGCAGCCCAGGTCGAAGCTGCTATCAAGAGGGTTGGAGCAGACGACGTTGAGGAGAGAGGAGAAGCAGGATTTTGGAGGCAAAAACTGCTGTGACGGCTGTGAAGAGTCGATAGAGAATGCCTGCGACGGAGAACAGGAGGCGGAGGAGTCGTTTGGTTGCAGAGGAGCAAATGTAGTTTCAGAAGCTTGGGTGGAAGAGAAGGTATGGAGGTCTTGAGCTGGGTTGCTGAGAATGTTGTTCGTGTACCAGTCACCTTCCAGCATTAATTTGACGTTTGAAAAAGAAACTCCCAAGCTCGAATCTTGGTCGTTTCTTCTGGGTTCTGCCTCATTGTTATTATTGTTTCTGGTCCAAGACGCTGCGTCGTGTTCGTCTCCGCCCATACAAGCGGCGCCGCTGGACATGGGAAGCATGACTGTCTTTCTTCACTTGTCAAGATTTTTTTTTTTTTGGTCAAGACTTTTTTATACGATTATACCCTTTAGGGAAAATTGTCTGAAAGAGACAAAACAAAAGGCGGGGTTCGGTTACAGAGGTTCGATAGAAAACGCAGAAAAGGACAGCAACTTTTTGCTCAGAGTCGGGTCATCATTTTGAGAAGAAACGGAGACATAGATTCCCGATGTTTTTTCTCTAATTTTTAGCTGGGAAATGGAAATGGAAATGGATTCTTTCAAGTTCGAACGTTCAGTTTCATCAGTTTTGTGGAAGGGAAAAATCGTATTGGTCTCTAAACTAATTGTAATTATTGATTCATCTAATTGTCGCAACGTGGAATAATGTTCTTTCATTTTAAGTAACTTCATTAGAAAAATATCGCATTAATCTTTAATTTTTGAACCGATAAAAATTTAGTTTTTTAACCAAAAATTTGTACATATTAATTCATAAATTTGTCTCACGGTGTGGTTATGTTTCTTGTTTTTAGGTAACATTTGCCATAGATTTTTGTACCTTATTATCCCTTAAAACCCTTCATTTTAAAAGTGTTACCAAAAGAATCGTTGAGTCACATTGTGACAAATTCATTAAAATCCAACTTTTCGTTTAAAACAGTCTTAAATTACAAAACCAACATCAACAACAACAGAGCAAAGCTAGCTAGGTGGACCAACTTTTTAACCAAATTTTCAAACTATAAATGTGTCATCACTAGGAAATTACATACGTTAATATTTTGATAATAATCTAATCATCAATAACACTATAGATATAATTTCAACTCGCACAATAAAACTAGATGATTCATCTCTGTTCACGTGACCAGACTAACTAGTCCAGGGTAGACTGCTGTGGATAACTTGGCTGCATACGTGGCATGCATGCAACTCATTAACAAGTCGGGAGATGAGATATATCCGCCATTCACTGCCAAATCTTGAGGGTTTAATTGTTTTTAACGTACAAATTAATATAATCAAGTAAACAATAAATGTAGACAAATAACAAAAAGTAAAATAAAAATCTTCCGAGTTTTAACTTGGCTGGTTGGCGGACATCGAAATGCATGCATGTGAAGTCTGAAGATTGAAGAGTACTAACGATCGAAGACCCGTCCAAAGCGGTTGGGATTACGATGTGGCTGTGGTCGATCTCCAAACTTTCCTCCAATAAATAAGCTAAAATTTTGAAAATTTTATCTGATCTCTCATTATCTATCATTCATCCGCACAAAGAAAAAAGCCCAAGGTGGTTCATTTTCTAAACAGTAATAACAAAAGGAAAGGAAACTAACAAGCTGCAGCGGGTCCATGACAGCTAAAAGATTACAGACAGAAGACCATGCAGGCATATTGTATACCATTTGTATATATTCATTATTCATTCAGGCTTTCAGCTGTGTGAACTGCGGGACCACTGTTACTAATAATACTTGTTCGTGATGTCGATGGCCTCGCTCTCTTCCTCTCTGAAAATATGACGTTGAGGAGTGAACTCAAAGAAGGTCCTGATCGAGCGAGCAGTATATTAACTTACTAATCGGTAATATCGGTAATATATACTTGATCATTCAGGCGTTCCCATACGTACACCACTTTATAGCTTCCAGGGCAGCCAATTCAACAACATTTAAATATAGTACGTAATATAATCAAGCTGCTTGAAATAAAAAAGACACATGCATGATAAGCATGTGTGCAAACAACAATTAACTTGTGTACGTTTGTAACGAAAACAAGTCTAAACCTTATTGGAGTCTTGACTCTAGGCATATACTAGGATTACATTACACAGGTTGATCCCGAGAAGAAGGGAAGCTAAGACTTTTGAAGCTGGTGAACCCTCCATCCAGCACTAGATTATGACCCGTCACATATTTTGCTTCATCCGACGCCAGATACACCGCCGCTTGCGCCACATCTATCTCCTCACACTTCGCACCCTTGAGCTCTCCCAGCCCATTCACTATCTCTTTAACTTGCTCCTCCGTTGCCCCCGGATAAAACTGCTTTATTTCCCGCACCGCCATTGGCGTCGGTATTGGACCCGGCGATATGCAATTGACTCGGATCCCGTTTCGGCACAGCTCGCTCGCCAGTGATTTCACCAGGCCAGGTATCGTAAATTTCGATATCGAGTAGGAGTGAGGCCCAAGGCCACCCAACAGCCCAGCTATGCTGGACGTGCACAGTATGGAGCCTGAGCCCGCAGGTTTCATGACTCGGGCCGCATGCTTTATCCCAGCAACCGCGCCCCTCAAGTTGACCCGGATCACTCTGTCAAACTCTTCAAGGTTCAGGTCAGCGATGCTGGGCGGGAATGCTGGGCCTGTTATTCCCGCGTTGTTGTACATTATGTCAAGTTTTCCATGACGGGCCATGGCGGTTTCTACAGCCTCTGCTATCTGGGACTCAATGGTAACGTCGCACTGGACAAAGTAGGCTGCGGGGCCCAGCTCTTTGGCAACTTGTGGACCCAGCTCAGAATCTGAGTCTGCAATGATGACGTGTGCTCCATGTCGGATGAACTCGTGGGCCGTGGCCTTCCCAAGCCCGCTAGCTGATCCTGTTATTATGGCTACCTTGCCTTCCAACCTTCTTTTATCAAACAAAGTATGCACATGGATGATTAGATTCTTAATGCATCGAAACAGATGTTAATATTATCACTTTAATGTTAATGTACTCGGAAAAATAAAAGGCAAGAAAAGAAAGGAACAACACGCGTGTTGAATATGCAATGAAAAGACAAGATCAGTCATGTCGTTTGAAAATGAGGTCTGCGAAACGACGTCCGATCAAGAAAATGATTATAGGGCAGATTGATCATTCAATCATGAAGCGGTGGATCGTTTTCCACGCCGGAAATCACCCAAAAAGCAACACCGGCCACATTCAATATTTGACTCATGTTCATATAAAGTGGGATTTTTTGTGCACGGAAATTTTTTTATTAGAGAGTAGTAGTCCATCCATTTGAATTCGATGCCCGACAATGATGAAAGTTTGAAATTTAACGTGAGTGTAAAACTGGAAGTAACTTATATACAAAAAAAATGTTATTATAACTGTATTTTAAATTAATTATATATTGTTATGACAAAGTGTGATTAATTTGATAATTAGCACAACGGTATCCTCGTTTTAAGTAAGATATTTCCATAAAAATGAAGACATGCGCTATGAGTTGTTACTTTTGATCTGACCAGGGCTAGATTTTTTATTTTTTATTTTTTATTTTTTGGAAAAACTGACCAGGGCTAGTTTAAGCTTGAAAGCATTGCATGTGCTGCACGGTGTCTTAAACATCACTGTCAAACATAATTATTGATCAAATACTTAAGTTGACCTTACTAAACTAAACTAAACTATATAATATTGAAGATGGCAGAGGAACTGCCGAGATTAATTACTATGAAATGGAATTTTAATCATGGGATCACTCATAGCTCCACGGTATATGCATAATTTACTTAGAAACTGCTGTCAGAATAGCTAGGTACAATTTTACTACAAAATTGAGCATGTTAATTTCTCACAAATATATTTTTAATCAGACTTTGTTTGTTGCTAAAACTTTCGCTATGGATGATCTCAAGATGGTTATGTTTTTCTTTTAGTTTTAAACCCTCAACAATAAATATGAGACTTCCCTTGCATTACACTATATATAAAATGGTATCTTAAGATGTATAACAGTTTAAGTAACCTTATAATAATATAGTACTCCTACTGGGACTTAAATATATTATATATGCTGGGCCGGGTGACTACTACTATCTGATAAAAACGATAGAAGAAAACAGAAAATAATAATGCACAAAAACTGTGCGACAAAGTCACGGTGAATAAGGTACCGATCGAGGTAGAACTAGAAGAGATTTCCATTAATAAGAGAGAAGATGGCCAAAAGAAGGGAAATATTAATATGATCAACCATGTTTTTGGAATCGATCGATCTGCAGCTACCAGATCATGTATAATAAACTGTAAAATATACATACCTTCCATGGCCAGATGCACCAAACGTTGAAAAGGGCATCGCTCGCTTACAGAGAAAATCATTGCAGCTGATCAGCTTAAACTCTCCGAGAATAAAACAAATATTCCACATCTATCCCTCAGTTTCCGTGAATTTCCAGCGCATATAGCTACTGTTAGGGTAGCATGTATAATTATTTTGGTCATGTCAAATAGCATATATGGTATTATTGGTAAAATAAGGCGTGAACTGACCTGGTTAGTGATCTGAGCATATCTGCAGCAAAGATCTGATGAATTGATGCAAGAGAGAGAGAGAGAGAGAGAGAGATGCTTGACCCTAATTATCTAACTGATGATCAGTGGCAGAACTCAATAGCTGGAAAGAAACAAGGACCAGAATTTATTGGAGAGCAGGAAGAAAACGTTATAAATTGCAGTTGTAGATACGCGTTTTCATGCAAAGAGAGAGAGAGAGAGAGAGAGAGAGAGAGAGAGCGCAAATTTGATATTGAAGTTGAACATGGTTTACAAAATATGTGACCTGTCGTATTTAATGATCCTAAGTTAAAACAGCAGAAGGAAGCCCGAGTGCTAAAGAATCAATGTGAAGGTTTTTGGATGGGAGTAAGATTTTCTCTCTTTCTATTCTCATATCTTTGCCTCCCGTACTCCCATACTTTGAAAAGATTTTTCAGCGTGATCGGTACTACTATGTGTAAATGATAGGATAAGTTTACTAAAAAATTAATAACTTAAAAAATAAAATTTCTCACAACTTCTATAAAAACACGTGGTATACCACTTGTGTTCCCATCACAATGAAAAATTTCTTTACACTTTACTTTTTGTCTTCTTGTCTTTATAAAAAAAATCAATATAAGACGTTAATGTGACTTAATCCTAACCGTTCAAATAGAAGGAGCAAGAATGAGAGAGATTAGGAAGGGAAATAATTATCTTGCTTTGGATGTAGCAGGCTGCAGACTGCAGACTGCGGTAGCTGGAGGTGTACGTTAGCAAGCCAAACCTAGCTAACAAAAAAAAAAGATTTCTAAGAAAAAAAAGAAATTAAAAGGAACAGCAATGATCGTAAATAATGGTGTAATTAATATTAGTTTAAAGATACATATAATTGGATATCAATATATACTGAAGGAACAACTAAGCTATAAAATTAAGCAGATTGTCATTGTATTGAGTTAGTGGAGACAAACAACGGACAAGTGAGTGAAGCTACAATCTCATACTGCGGGATTGCATATATTTGGTCTCTTAAACAAAACTTAAATTACTCCTTCGTGTTCTTTTTCTTGGCCTGACTTGCCTTATCATGATCTGTACCCGCATACAAACAATTAATGAAATGTTAATTAATTAATTTGTCATTAACAAACCCCACTTATATATGATCATGAGTAATTAAAGTAGTTCAATACTAGCAACTGGAGCAACATATGTATAATGCATGCATGCATGCATGCATGCGTTGATGAAAGCTTTAATTTGGTGATTGTATCGTACATATTTCACTATTTCGTGTGCGAATATAAGTACTATAAATATGTATTATGGAGGTTGTAATGATCGATGGGTGTTAATTAAAGTAGTTACTAGCGAATCCGGATATGTATATTCTCCATTCTCTATCCTAGCAGACTAGTCTAGCTAGTTGGGCCTATATGAAGTAATCACCAACACCACGCCTAGCTCTGTATTGCTGAGGTTACGAAAGATGAGAATTGGATGGCTTCAGCTTGACGATCACACGAGGGAGGGATATGTATATAAATTTTTGTTTGGGAATGAATTTCACATTAATGAGATGACGAATTTTGCATTAGCTTATAAGAGGTTGGACTATTCCTTATATTTCCAATTAGTTTTCTGGTGGAACCTCAATTTTTTTCATGGTATCAGAGTAGATTATTCACGTGTAAAGCCCAACGGTTACACTTGATCAACATCACCTAATTGTGTTGTCTACGTATTAGGCTTGAAAGTTCACCACACGCGAGGGGTGTGTTGAAAATGAATCCCACACTGATGAGAATAAGAACTTTGCATGTGTTTATAAGTAGTTTAGCTACTTCACATATTGTCAATTAATATTATAGTGGAACCTCAACTTTCTTCATTTATATCAACTAAGATAAGGATTGCGTTATGCCCTTAAGGGTAGGCGTGAGTACGGTTTGGTTCAATCTAGTTCACTCCTTAAACCATAATAGAAATTAAATATTATTGCTGGTTTGGTCTAGTTGGATTTGATCTAAAATTATAACTAAAACCATACGGTTTGGTTTACGTCATTTCCAGTTCAGTTTCGCGGTTTTTATGCCCACCCCTTGGGGAATGAGCTTATTGCACCGCTTTTAAATAATGTATATTTTCATATAAATTTCATAACCAAAATTGTTCAGTTTCATAAACATGATTGGAATTCTTATAAACATACATTAATCGGAGTTTGTTTAGTCATATAAATGTATCAAATAAATTAACGGTTCTTCATGAATATATTACTTGGTACCTACACTGTTGATGTATATGATAAATTTGAATGACTAAACGAACTATGATTTGCATGATTATTTTGTAAGAATAATCTTCTTATGAACATTAAGAAATTGACAACCAGCTTCCCTTTAATAACCATTACGTTTATAGTATATAATTTTTGTGTTAGAAATGGAGGGAAAGTATATGAAACAACTGAACAATGAAGAAAGATGAAGCGAAGTCGTGGGACGAATGAGACAAACTTACAAATGAAGAATATTATACGAAGGAGAAAAAAAAATGTGAAAACAACATAAAATTGTTTTCAGTTAATGAAACACTCATGATATTATTCATTTTTAATATTAAAAACATTTTAAGCATGAAAAGTCACTCCTAATATTATTCACTTACAACAATATTTTGTCATTTTGATTAAAACTAAAGTTTTTGAGAAATTTTGGTTAGTTTTTCTTAGCTTTTATTTGTGCGGTGTTTCATATATTATTTTTCAACATTAGTACCATCATATCTCTACCTTTTGTTAATTTTTATTTCTTTTATACTTTTCCTCTATTATAATACAAACAAAAAAAAAAGTGGTGATTAATCAAAATCTCATGTTAGTTCATTTACATAGAAATGTTGTCAGATCAAGAGACAGTCCACAACGATACCAGAGTATTCCAGCAGAAAAAAAAAAACAACGAATACCAGTGTTACGCGTCCATTAGACCGAGAAATTTTTATTTGTGATGTGAATATGGATATTACATCACGTGTTTTTATGTATGTGGTGAAAAATTTTAATTTTTAAGTTATTAATCTTTTAACACACATATCCCACAATTTATATAGAAACACGTAATATACCACTTTATGTGACGATCACATTGAAAAATCTCTCAATTAGACTGGACCGTTTTCATTTGGAATCCAAAAGAAAATAAATAAACGGGCCAGTCGCTAACTGGGCTAATCACGTGGACTTAAGGTCCGGTATTCCGAGGGGATATGACATCGGCTCGTACGTGCCTTCCTTTGAACATAGGCGATTCTTCAACAGTAGAACTTGATAACTGTAATTTCTCTGTTTTGTCCGAGTGCTGTGTTGATTGTGCCAAGGAAGGAAACTGAAACTATGAAAAGTTGAAAGGGAACAAATGTAAAAGAAGCAGTTGCATTGATATAATGATTACGATATAAAAGGTGGCGGTGGCGGTGGGGATGCGGGAATAGCTTTGTCTGTCCAATTTCCAAATCGACATCGAACCATCCCCACATTCATATATACAACAAGTCAAACGAAGCAGAAGCAGATCTAATTTCACTAGTAAGTGCGCGGGCGCAGATCTCATTCCCTCTGGTAGATTAATGGGTGCAGCTCAGTCCGTACAAGAGCCCGAAGAGAGCGAAGAGGAAGACGAAGAAGGAGAAGGAGGAGAAGAGGACGGCATCAATGGCGAGCCCAACATTCGAAGTGGATTGGAATTGGACAAGGATTTGATCAAAAAGGTTTTAGAACAAGAGCCCGAGATGCTCTGCCACGCATCCGCTTCCCCTCTCTCCCCTCAGCTCTCCTCCTTCGGCACCCCGCGCCTGGGACCCTCCATCAAGGTATGGGACCCCTACAACGTCCTCGGCCCGCCTTCGCCTCTGCCCCCGCCTCCCGGATTCTCCCGCAGCTTCTCGTCCAATGCCATGGAGGACGACCAATTCGTCACGGAGGTGTTTTTGATTAGTCACGGCGAGTGCGAGTTGAATTTGAGGCCCGATTTGGTGGGCGGGCGGTGCCCCCAGGCGGCTCTGACCCCCAACGGCAAGCGCCAGGCCAGGGCCCTGGCGGTTTTCTTGAACTCCCAGAGGGTTAGCTTCAGTGCCGTTTACTCGTCCCCGCTGGATCGTGCGCGCTCCATGGCGGTTTCTGTCTGTCAGGTAATTTTTGAATTGAACTTATTCGAGTTTAGAATTCTGATTGTTCTTTGGAAATTGTAGACAACTGACGATGCTGAGTATATTTTATTTTGCTTACTTGTTTTAGAATGTGATTAAGCATCGAATTCTGCCTACTTATGCCGATACGATTCACTTATGAGTGAGAGAGAGGGATATGTCAATTTGTTTGTTAACTACTTGCTGAACATGAACCTATTTTTTTTTTTTTTTCGTTTTAAGCCTAGTGCTATTTAACAAACCTAGGTGAATTTTCTTGGAATCATCAAGCAACCAAGCTTTTAAAACCTACGTACAATTTCAAGCAGGATAAGAACACCTTGAAGAACACCTTGAAACTGGCAGGGGGAAATGGTAGCCTATAATTTGGTATGTTTTGCAATTTATATTTCATGGTACATAAAAGGATTTGTGTAGCCGACAACACACATTTGGGATGAAAAGCATCTTCAAGTCGAATTAATTGGCTTGTGGCTTGGAATGAAAGCTTTAAGTGCTAATTGTGTCACTACTGTTGCGGTCCCTCATTGGCTCAGTTACATGATTGATTGGTGTTGAAGCTGTCACAGTTATGGCTCTTAGATTTGAAGACATGGCTTCTATAACTTCTTGGTACATGGATCCTTAGTCCAAGTAATGTGTACGGGACGATGAATATCCAAGAAGGCGTAGGGGGATAATTGGAATCAGTATCCTTTTGGCAGAGTATATGTTGTCCTCGACTGTTTTGACCAAAAGAATTCTCAGGATTTGAAAGTTGGGTCATATTTGATAGTATTTGATTAACTTCTCGTTCACTCCTCCTTTTCCTTCATTAAATGTTAGATCCCCAGCCCTTCTATTCTTCTTATTCTTCATTATGAATCATATTGGTAGGTTCCCCTTTTAGCTGACGATATGAAATAAACCGCTTTGTAGTTATTGGTTCCTAATATGAGCAGCTAAAGAGATCATGCAAGGTATAGTGTATCTGATATGTGATATTGCTTACCCTAGAATTTTGGTATTTAAGATGTTCTACATGTGTCTAAATAGTTTTGTCGGATTATAAAATCATGCAGGAAATGAACTTTCCAGTTGGACAGATACAAACTTCAGATGCGCTTGCAGAGATGAGTCAGGGGGATTGGGAGGGGTGCCCCCGATCTGAAATATACACAGCTGAAGTTTTGAGCTTCATGGAAAGAGTTCAGCCTGATTTCTCTGCACCATCGGGAGAGTCACTTCGGCAAGTGGAATTTCAAATGGTTAGTTTTTTAAACGGGACAGTCCTTGGGCTTCCAGAAAAGTTGAGAGCATACTACTCATTCTCATCACACAATCAGAATGAGAGTCAAGGCTTTGCACACCATAGTTCTCATGTATTAACCAACTCAGTTCATGACCGAGATGGGCCTTCCCTCCCTTCACCTAACTGGGATCTGCTTCACAGGCAGCGGCAGGGGCTCTTAAGGAAAAAGTCTGGCAAGAGCAGGTTACAAGTTGTGACTACAACTGGAGTTCAGGAGGTTGAGGATGAAATTTCCCCTCGGGATGTCACTCACCAAAGTTCCCCTCATGATTTAAGTGGGAGAAGCTCCTCTTCTGCGTCTTGTATTGGTATATTCAGTCATGCAGTGCCAATCCAATGTCTCCTCACAGGAATCCTTGGATGCAGCCCATTAATGTCGCATAAGATTTGCATAGAAGACTCTTCTGTGACAGTTTTGCAGCATTCATGGAGAACCGGTTGGCAGATAAAGAGGTTGAATGATACTGCACACCTCAGGCTTATGTAGTAGTTATAGACTTGGGAGTATCATAACTTGTTACATTATATCGACAATGCGAAAGTAAAGTTTCATTTCCCGGGATCAGTGGGTTACAAAACACGATAGTTTTGCTTGAATATGCAATGCCCTGCCATTTGTTGTAACATTTGCTCTATTTATTTCCGAATTGTTCAACTCCGCAAAAGAAGAATGACATGTTGTTGGAGTTGGATCCTTGTATCGGGTGATTCTTTTGATTTGTGGCAATTACAGGAGATGGTGTGAAGAATCATGTATTTCCTGTATATTTTAAAGAAAATTCATAATTCAGAAACTTTGATCATGCATTCATCAGCTATGTAGATCTCAGTAGGAACAATCTCACTTTTTTTTTTTTTTTTTTTTTTGAGTAGATCGATATTTTTACACTAAGGGGAAGGGAGTTTGATTAAGCTACACAATGGGCAGCTTAATTTGGTATTGAATTTGCCATTCACGAGATTCGAACCTAAAACCTTACTTTCAAGTGGAGAGGAATACTACCAGACCGTAGTACTGAGAGGTGAAGCCACACGATGCTCTTTTCCTTTTTATGTTTATATCTTTTATTTTAGTACTTAATGGTTTGAAGTTGAATGCTAGGTTAGATAGTTCAGGGCTGAAATCTTCATTTCAATTCAATACAAGTTCCTGTGTGTTTTTTATTTTTTAAATTTATATTTTTTGGCCTTTTTGATGCAAAACCATGTTAGAGAAAGGAAGAAAAAGAAAGGGCATGTGGTTATTTTGGACTGCTAGAGTGAGTTGTCCTGTTTCTTTTCTTTAACAAGTTGCATCAGACAGGACACAGTTGCGGTGCGTGGGTCACCAGACACTCACAACTCTCACATGGGATGGATGGATGGATGGATGGGGCTGGCAGCCGCAGCCGATGGTTGCAATTTCAGACCTAAAAAAATAAGGCAATGAATTATGCAGCATGTTGTGGCTACATCCTCGCTTATTACGAGACTAGCTACAATCAGAACCAGGTGCCGAACTCATCACAAATCTCTCTCTCGCGTTTATAACTTAATCATGAGACATCCTCTTACCAAGCAGAGAACTAGCATTACACCACGAGCTAGTCAGCGATGAAGCAAAGCAAGTGCTGTTAGGAGTTGGGACTTAGCATATTAGAGACGATGATTGGTATACAAATACAATGAGGGACATGGCATATTTGAGACGATGATTGGTATATAAATACAATGACCTAAATTTCTCAGATATAATAGTATATTATTGAATCCCCAGTTCAGCTAAGATTCTCAGACATCTACGGAAATTACTGGCTCTGTCTATCAGTAAATTATATGCACAGCCATCTTGTTCGCTAATTTACATGCTCTGTGCAACTCAACTAGTGCGGTGCTAACGATTTCAGCTTCTCCGATGGTTTTACCATATGGAAATCCACCCAATAACAATATGTAATCCTTCTTCCCTTCTCCAGGTGATGAATCTACTCCTAATTCGGCAGATGCATTTACAGCAGTCCCAAGCGCAGGCCAGTTTGTTGGCAAACATTGAAGAACTGACGTGCAAGTCCATTTTTATTCGGTATTCTTGAGAATGTTCATCTTGTATCAATACTTCTTTTGGATAACACGTTGATACGTTTTATTAATAAACATAGATAACATCTAACCGATGTCATACGAGACCAGAGTTTCTTCACAACAACAGGGGGTAGTGCCAACTTGTATAATTGTAATTCTCACAACATTTGCAAACTCGTTGACCAATGTTTGACTTTGGAAGGGCGGGCAGAAGAGCTTTCTTTCTTGCAAACAGCTCCAAAAAGATCCCACATTTGCAACCAGTTTGTTCGCTCAGCGGGAATCCAAAGCCACGAAAATCCCCCGGGAACGAAAGAATGATGAATGAATGAAGATTTCAAAATCGAGTTTTTGTCGCATCCGCAGGCACCAATATTCGGTCGCAGTTAACAACCTCAACCTTGCAACCTGGTTCAACAAATACGTCGACAAAGACGATGTCGCTTCCTGGAACTCCGTCATTGCCGACTTGGCCCGGAGCGGCGACTCCCTCGAAGCCCTCCGGGCATTTTCGTCCATGCGAAAGCTTTCCCTCAGACCAAACCGCTCCTCCTTCCCCTGCGCCATCAAATCCTGCTCGGCTTTGCTGGACCTTCACTCCGGCAAGCAAGCTCACCAGCAGGCGTTGGTCTTCGGCTTTGAGTCCGATCTCTTTGTCTCCTCTGCACTCATCGATATGTACTCCAGATGTGGTCGATTGACGGATGCATGGAAACTGTTCGATACAATTCCTCACAGGAACGTGGTTACTTGGACGTCAATGATCACCGGGTGCGTCCAGAACGACGATGCCTGCCAAGCCTTGGCTCTCTTTAAAGAGTTGTTGATTGAGGAAATTGACAATGAGGATGTTTCTTTAGATCCTGTTGTACTGGTTTCTGTTCTGTCGGCTTGTTCTCGCGTGTCAAGTAAGGGACTTGCTCAAAGTGTTCATGGGTTGGTGGTGAAGAGAGGCTTTGATGGGGATTTATGGGTTGGGAATACTTTGATGGATGCATATGCCAAATGTGGCGAGCTCGGTCTTGTTAGAAAGGTGTTTGATGGAATGTCTCAAAAGGATTTGGTTTCTTGGAACTCCATGATTGCAACTTATGCACAGAGTGGATTATCTTCTGAGGCATGGCAAGTCTTCTACGGGATGGCAAGGGATGGTGACGTCCACTACAATGCGGTGACGTTGTCCACTTTGTTATTAGCTTGTGCACATGCTGGGCCTCTGCTAGTTGGGAAGTCTATACATGATCAGGTATTCAAGTTTCTCGCAAGCCCTTAATTTCGCATCCTGTGGAATAGGTTATTACTGCAGGCTGTCTCTACTAATGCAATCTTTGGTCTTTTTATTTATAGGTTCTGAAAAAGGGCTTGGAAGAGAATGTGATAGTGTCTACCTCTATTATCGACATGTACTGCAAACGTGGGAGAGTTGACTTGGCAAGGAAGGCATTTGATTGCATGAAGGAGAAGAATGTCAGGACATGGACTGCCATGGTTGCAGGTTATGGAATGCATGGCCATGCCAAAGAAGCGTTGGAGGTCTTCTATAAGATGATAAGAGATGGTGTGACACCAAATTACATAACATTTGTGTCACTTCTAAATGCTTGCAGCCATGCTGGTCTATTAGAACAGGGTTGGTATTGGTTTAATGCCATGAGCCGCAAATTCGGTGTAGAACCTGGAATTGAGCACTACGGGTGCATGGTTGATCTTCTTGGACGTTCTGGTGATCTTAACAAGGCTTATGATTTAATAAAGGGAATGAGGATCATGCCAGATTGTGTTGTCTGGGGTTCGTTTCTTGGGGCTTGCAGGGTACACAAAAATGTGACATTTGCAGAGATTTCTGCAAGAAAACTATTTGAGCTTGACCCTCATAATTGTGGGTACTACATCTTGCTTTCAAATATATATGCCGATGCTGGGAGATGGGAAGATGTTGAGAGGATGAGAGTACTCATGAAGAATCGTGGGTTGGTAAAACCTCCTGGATTCAGTTTGGTTGAACTGAGAGGTATTGTGCATTTATTTTTAGTTGGAGACAGAGAGCATCCTCAGCATGAGAAGATTTACGAGTATTTGGAAAAACTGACAATCAAGCTGCAAGAGGTTGGCTATGCACCCAATATCAGTTCAGTTCTTCATGACGTTGATGAGGAAGAGAAGGAAATGGTCCTAAGAGTACATAGTGAGAAGCTGGCCGTTGCCTTTGGAATCATGAATTCTGTATCTGGTGCGACGATTCAGATAATCAAGAATCTTCGAGTTTGTGCCAATTGTCATACTGTTATTAAGTTGATTACGAAGGTTGTTGATCGGGAAATTGTGGTCAGAGATTCAAAGCGGTTTCATCACTTCAGGAATGGGTTGTGTTCTTGTGGAGATTATTGGTGATGGCCCTGTAAGAAGATGGCGGTTGCTAGGCAAATTTGGCTCGATAAACAGCCTCATTGATAAGGTGTAGAATAGATAGCACGTAATGGCTCTCTAGGAATGTTGTGACTACTATTCATATAATCAGTTTTGGTGAAACTGAATGCCACTTCTGATAAGATTGTTTCTGATCAACAGAAGACTGAGTAAATTATAGATCAGCCTTGATAATGATTCTTATCAACCTTAACTCATAATCTAATTATCAAAAACACATCATATAATTTATAAAATGTGGTTTAAAAAGTCAGTTTACCGTGCATTCTTCTATGAATAGTGGAAGGTATTGAAATTTACCGGGAGAAAGTAAGGGTTTCTTTCCTAAATCAAAAGGGTATGTATGATCCCTTAACTAGTCTAATGTAGGATCAAAAGGGTATGATCCCTTGACTAGTCTAATGTAGGCGCAAACGAAGTACCGTTTGCAAATTGCCAATTTGTCAAATTGGAAATACCGTAACAATTGATTTTCCCGAGATATGCCTACGAATATGCCAATCCAGCTCCCATTGAGTTGGTAACTTGGTAGCATTCATGCCTTGGTGCGTTTGGTACGTGGGACGGGACGGGACGGAACGGGACGAGGCGTTCCGTCCCTCGTTTGGTGCGCCAAAAATGGGTGGAACGGGCTGTTCCACGGGACAGATTTTGGGTGTTTTTGCGTCCCACCTCCACCCCCTGGAACGGGTTTGTTCCACGTCTGTGGAACACAATGTTTTACCATTTTAAGACAAATATACCCCATGTCTTTTTCAAAAATTACACCTTCGTTCCGTCCCGTCCCGTTCCGTCCCGTCCCGTTCCGTTCCGTCCCGTCCCGTCCCGTCCCGTCCCGTCCCGTTCCGTCCCGTCTGCGTACCAAACACACCCTGAGGGAACAAATGCCAGCTTCAAAATAAAATTAGTAGCCACAATGTTTACTTAATTTCGATGTTACACTTATTCTGATTTTTAACGTTTTTATTTTTTTTACATGTGTTTGTACCATACTTGACCAATCCCGAAACTACCGAGCACCGGCCAACGCTATACTGTCAAGGACCCAGAAGAGTTCCCCTCCGACCAGGAGGCCAATCACTACTCGACACGTGTCAAGATTAGAAGCCAATCAGAGCGCAGCACGTGTCGACATCAAGAACCAATCATAACATGACACATGTCAATGTGACAAAGCTACAAGTTTTTCTATAAATAGGGGTCATCCCCCCACAATATTGCCTAATGCCATTTGTGTTAAATCATTCACAAGAACTCACTAAATTGAGAGCTTGATCCTTTGTACTTATGTAAGCCCTTCACTACTAATAAGAATTCCTCTACTCCGTGGACGTAGCCAATCTGGGTGAACCACGTACATCCTGTGTTTGCTTCTCTGTCTCTATTTATTTACGTACTTATCCTCACTAGTGACCGAAGCAACCAAGCGAAGGTCACAAAACCTGACACTTTCTGTTGTTGTACCAAAGTCTTCGCTGATTTTGTGCATCAACATTTGGCGCCGTCTGTGGGAAACGACACTTATTCCTACTCTCTTCAGCTGTGTCAAGCTGGTTTCTATCATTCGTACACTTTCTTTTGATCAGGCATCCCTCTCCAACATGGGAAGCGAAGGAAGCCACAACACACAGAATGACACCCCCCTTGCACATAGTGCGAAACAACGAAAGAAGGAAGGAAAAACGAGTTCTTCTTCAAGCTAAAGTCGATGAGTTGGAAGCTCAGAACAACAAGATAGCAATGAGGAATGAGGTCCTCCAGGAGCAATATGAGAAGCTCTTCGAGACACTCCACGAAGCTAGGCAAGCTCAGACACGCGAGCTTGTTGCCCCCGTGGAAGTCAACCATCAACTGGGTGCCCTCCAACATGGAGGGTCACATGCATTCGACATAGATATCCCTGATAGGGAACAGATTACCCCTCGACTTGATAATCAACATGAGGCTTCTCTTAACCCAGTTGCTTCGACCCGAACCATGAGAAGTGGAGGGAGACACCTCTTTGCTGAAGGGGCAGAAGGATCGAAAGCCGTCTTTCGCGATTGTCGGGATTTCCTGAAGCAACGTCGAGAGAATTTCCATCCATATAAGCTCAAAGATTAATGACCCAAGGATTTCTGAGAGACTCGGTCCCCTGCCACGGCCCAAGCCGGCCACCAATTTGGGGAAGGGGCAACAAGTCCTAGAGAGACATGAGGGTACAGGGGACTCAGAGGTGTTCCGACAGACATACCCTGGAAGCCAGTACAGCGAGTCCAGGGAAAAAATCACATGCCCTTGATCAAACCTTCCTAATTCCAATAGGAGATGGAGATTTACGAAAGAAAGCTCCAGTGACACATAACTCCGCTCAGGACCCCCTTGTCCTACAACTTCTTGAGGAAGTAAACAAGTTGAAGGCTGAACGTCAGGCTGAAATACCTGACTGGAACCAACCCAGGCCTGGCCCTCTTACAAGGAGGATCCTCAACACCCCCCTTCAAGCAAAGACAAAGCAAAAGCTTGGCTTGCAACTTTATACTGGAAAAGAGGACCCGATTGAGCACCTTAACCTCTTTGAGTCCACCATGGCATACCGGATGCACACCGACGAAGAGCGATGTCTTCTCTTCCCCTCCACCCTCTCTGATGGAGCTCTAAATTGGTATTGTCGTCTTACACCTGAGACGGTAGACTCATTTGAGGAATTGAGGAAACTATTTGTTTCCCAACACATTTTCCAAACCGATCGCTTGCACTTTGCAGATGACTTGTACACTATCCGCCAGAAGCCAGACGAGTCATTACGTATGTATGCTGGCCGCTTCAGCCATGAATACTCCCGGTGTGCCGAGGCAGACGACAAGACTGCCCTCAAAGCCTTCACGGCAGGCCTACGTGATTGTTTCTTTAAATACATGATCAATGCCAATACTTGGAAGACTTACTCTGAGGTGATGGCGCAGGCTTATAACCATGCCTCCGCCGAGGCAAAGACATATCAGGAGAAACCCCATACAACCATCCTTTATCAACAAGTGGGAGGTGGAAGCCAGACTCACCTAAATGAGAAGACCTCGACTTTCCAAACAGCAGTGGCACCTCCCCATGCCTTGCATAATGCTTCGCCGAATCAACAGACATATCAATTTCAAGGCAAGAGGAAGGATTTCCATCCTCACCACTCTCATTTCAGTAAAAAGAGTAGTAAGGGACACTATCCCGATAACCAAGGGTATCGCCACAATAACGCTCGCCCCCAGGCAGTCAATGCAGTGGGTCAAACCCGCGTCAAGATACCCCCTACCCCAAGGTATGAGACATACACGCCCTTGAATGCCACATGCGCGGCCATTTACCCCAGCATAGCCCACCTGATACCAAAGCCAAAGCCGAGGCACCCAGATTACACGCCCCCGAATAACGCGGGCATGTTTTGTTGCTACCATGAGCATAACGGCCATGATAGCGAGAAATGTATCATCCTCCGTGATCGTATTGAAGCTTTGGCACGAGAAGGAAAAATTGATCAATTCCTCCTTCACCCTCAAAGGGATAACCGTAACCAACGCCAGGTGAATGTCATATATTCCATAAGCGGCGGCACACCCATATCTGAATCTTCCAATAGGGCCATGAAAAACAGTGAACGAATTCTGAGGCCTGGTCACCAAGTGTTTCACGTGGAAGACATCAGGGGAGGGAAGTATCAAAAGCCTAACTGGGATCCGATATGTTTCTACCCTGAGGAAGAAAGAGGCATCATCTACCCTCATAACGACCCATTGATCGTGGAGGCTCACATAGCCAACTTTGATGTTCGACGAATCCTCGTAGACACAGGGGCTTCGGTCAATATCATGTTTGCCGAAGCTTTCAGGGCACTCAGTGTAGCTGAACACTTGCTCGATCGCTCGATTTCTCCTCTGATAAGCTTCTCCGGTGATATCGTGCAACCCTTAGGGAGCATACATTTACCCTTTACTATTGGTACAGGCCCTTACACGGCTACCATTACCACTAACTTCCTAGTGGTTGACTGCCCAACGGCATACAATGTCATCTTTGGGCGCACAGGCATCAATGATCTCAAGGCTATGGTATCCACGCATATGCTGTTGATGAAATTTCCAACCCCCCATGGCAACGGCTACATCAGAGGAGATCAGCTTAGTGCACGATCATGTTACAACACTTCAGTTAAGCAACAACACTTGCCCGGACCCAAGGAAACCCTGTCTGTACATGACCAAGTCACAAAGACCAGCCTAGATGAAGCGAACTTGGATCTTCCTGATAGCAACAATCAACCCGATGATCCTCGAGATGACTCTTTCACCCAGCAAGCCCAACCTGCTGAAGAGTTGGAGAAGGTACCTATCTCAAGAGATTATCCAGATCGCATGGTGAAGATTGGCACCACATTGTCACCACCCCTTCGGTTAGCATTGATATCTTTTTTGAAAGAGAACACTGAAGTCTTCGCCTGGTCATACGAGGACATGCCAGGCATCTCTCCCGATGTCATCTGTCATCGTTTGAGTATTGACCCCAAGATCAAGCCGGTGAGACAGAAGCGAAGATCTTATGACGCTGAACGATACGAGGCAATGAAAGCAGAAGTTGAAAAACTCAAAGGCATAGGCTTTGTCCGCGAAGTCAATTACCCGACATGGGTAGCAAATGTGGTCCTTGTTAAGAAAAATCCGACCAAAGAAAGTCTTTTGCTTCAAAAGGTCTTGTGGAGAATGTGTGTTGACTACACCGACCTAAACAAAGGGTGTCCGAAAGATAGCTTCCCTCTTCCTCTTATTGACAGACTTATAGACTCTACGGCCGGGTGTGAACTCCTGAGCTTCATGGATGCTTACTCAGGATACAACCAAATCCTCATGAACCCTTCGGATCAAGAACACACAGCCTTCACTACCGACAGAGGACTATACTGCTATAAAGTCATGCCTTTCGGCCTAAAGAATGCAGGAGCGACTTATCAGAGACTAGTCAACTCAATGTTCGCCGAGCAGATTGGGAAGAGCATGGAAGTTTACGTTGATGATATGTTAGTCAAGAGCAAACATGCTGACCAACACATCACCAACCTATCTGAAACTTTCACTATTTTGAAGAGGTATCGAATGAGGTTAAACCCCAACAAATGTGCCTTCGGCGTAGGCTCTGGCAAATTCTTAGGT